AGTAACTGGGACCACAGGTGCCCGCCACAACGCCCGGCCATTTTTTGGTTGCAGCCGTCATTGTTATTTGGTGGGCCCAGGCTGTATTTGAACCCGCCACCTTAGGTGTATGTGGCTGGCGCCTTAGCCACTTAAGCCACAGGCGCCAAGCCAGAAGAGAGTTTTCTAAAGAAGAGAGCTTGGTCTGCAGGGACCCAGCACGTGCTGTTGCACTGGGTTGACTGGCGAACACTGAAGACTAAGGGTCAAGAGAAGGAATTTGTGTGGGCCCTGCCAGCACCAGTAAGGGTCCTCTACTACCACGTAGCTTTGGAGAAGAAAAGGGGAATATTAGGCCTTGGGTAGAGAAGGAAACTGACCTGAGAGCCAGGCAGGGTATGGGGTGTGAGGGCAGAATAGAGAAGCAGCAGGAGTGGCTGACCAGCAGCTGTAGTCATGAGTAGAAAGCAGAGCGGTAGAAATACGGAAGTCAGCGTCAAAAAAGAAGCATCAGCAAACTATGACCCACAGATCAAATCCAGCCTTCTGCCTGTTTTGTAAATAAAATTTCATAGTAAATAAGTTGTAAATGAAGTTTTACATTATTCACAATTCATGTGGCTGGTTTTGCACTATAATAGTGAGGTTTCCTGGCCCACTGAAAAGTTTCAGGATTTGAGGTCTTGGTGGTGACTAAGTTAGGGTAATAGTGACACTGGAGAAGGAGCTAGACAAACCAGCCATTTGGCTGAAAGGTGGGGGCGTAGGTCACCAGAATTAAAAAGGAACCCCACAACAGGGACACCATGAAGAGTGACTGGCAAGAATGCTAGCCTTCCCCCTAGTTGTGACAGGGGTGTGGGGAGCATGACAGGGGGCATGGGGAAGCAGAAGGCCTGGAAGAGAAGGGCCCATCTGCCTGGTGCAGCCTGCAGGAGAATTAAAGGAGGGGCATAAATACGAGGAAGCATCATTGCTAGACACATCCCTGCCAAGTATGCAAGCCCCAGGGACAGGAAGAAGGTGCTTGCAGAGCCTAGTCCCAGGAGTACCTCCTGGCTGCACCACTGTCCCATGGAGGGCACTGAGGAGATGAGCACCACGTGTACGAGGAGGGCACAGGTGCTCTGTTCTGGTGAAGGCACATGTGAAACTATTAGTCACTGTGCTGTTTGTCAGTGGAAGCAGCTCTTGGGAGGCAGTGAGGGGAGTGGAGGACTGGGCTGAGACAGTGAGGAGTAGAGACTGCTGGCTTCACACATCAGGTGAGCTGGGGTGGTTTGGGCAAAAGTCCAGATGTCCCCTCTTGAGCCTGAGTATCACACTAAAGAGTGAGGACAAGGTGCTATTTTTATACAGAAGCCCTCTTGCTCCCCTAAAGCCAAATTCTGATCCTCCTGGGATGCAGTGACAGGCAGGTAAGCCTCTGAGGTCCTGTGGCCCTCCTGTGTGGAGCAGCTTCTGTATGGTGCTGATTCCGCTGAGGGGGGTTCACATTCAGCTCATATCTCCCTTGTAGCTGTCATAGTCCACATAGAGGGTTAGCCGATGGGGTTCATGCACTCCTAGTCAAATAACTCCCTTGGCATTTGCAGGTATTATTCTATTTGTTGTTTCTAAAAGAAAATAACACTTGTTTTTCGGATTTCAAAAAGGCAATTTTTTTGGTGAGTGAAATATTTCCTTTGAACTCCCTAAAATTCTGTCAAAGGGAAAAGAGTAAGTTAGGTTAGGTTGCTGGAGAGACTGTGGCAAGGTGTCAGAACCCATGTGTTCTGCCTCTTCCCTTTCTCTGTTCCTATTGGTGGGAGCCTCAGCAGAATCTGTGAGGTGGCAAGTCACCCTGGCTGGGTCATAAGCCCAATGGCTCAGTCACCTTCTCACCCATTGGGGCAGCTCTCCCAGGTAGAGAAGGGATAAGGACTCCAAGGGTTAGCACTACAGCTCTAAGTCACTTTATTTTCCACTGTCTTACTCTACAGGGGTGTTCCCTTAACAGATGCCACCCCCATCCAGGTCAAGGATATGAGCACAGGAAGCACAGACACCAGCAGCCGGGGCCGGGATCTTATTCTGATTTCCAGCTCAAGCAAATAGAGTTTCTCAAGGGTCAAGTCACAGAAGTACCCCTGATTGGAAAGCAGACTGCAGCACCACCACCACCTGTCCTCCTAGGACCCTGGCCAAGGTTTCCAGAACCACCTGTCTGGTACAGGCAGCTGGAGAGCTGGGGTGTCCCTAGGACAGTACATCTCACAAGTCAGAAACTCCATAGAGGATTCCAGCATCCCACACTGCGTGGCAGGGTTCTGCCATGGAGAGGTGTCGATAGGCTTTCCTCACGTTTCCAGGAACTAAGTATCAACCAAGATCAGGAACAAAGGATCTTAAAGCTCCTGGAGGAGCTCAGGGAAGGGAAGGCCACGACAGCACATGATCTGGCTGGGAAACTTGGAGTCCCAAAGAAGGAAGTCAATCGAGTTTTGTACTCTCTGGCCAACAAGGGTAAGCTGTACCAGGAGGCAGGAAAGCCCCCTTTGTGGAGAGTTGCAGTCTCAGTTCAGGCTGAGAACCAGCAGAGTGAAGTAGTGAGACCAGACAGGTGTAGCCAGAGAGCCCCAGACTCGGGCCCCAACTCGGACACTGAAGATAGAAAGCCCACGTCTATCTCAGAAGATCTTCTTGACCCTTTTGAGATGGCTGAAATCAAGGAGAGAATCTGTGACTACCTGTTCAATGTGTCTGACTCTTCTGCCCTGAATTTAGCTAAAAATATTGGCCTCACCAAGGCCCGAGATGTGAATGCCATGCTGATTGACCTGGAAAGGCAGGGGGACGTCTACAGGCAAGGGACAACCCCTCCCATATGGTATCTGACAGACAAGAAGCGAGAGAGGATGCAAATGAAGAGAAACACAAACAGCTTTCCTGAAACCACTCTGGCTGCTATTGCAGAGACCAAAAGAAACACAGAGTTCCCCACCTGTAACTTACTGATGCCAAATGTCTCCAGTAACATGGTCACCACAGAACAAGTGGAGAATGGGCAAGCACCTCTCATAAAGTTAGAAGACAGACAGGTGGCTAGACCAGAACCTGTAAAATTGAAACCACCCGTTCATAGCAATGGCCCCTCAAAAGCAGGGTCTGTTGACCTCGAAAAGGGCCAGTGGGCCACAGATGATATCCCAGATGACTTGAATAGCATCCATGCACCACCAGGTGAGTTCCGCGCCATCATGGAGATGCCCTCCTTCTACAGTCAGAACTTGCCACGGTGCTCCATCTACAAGAAACTGACAGAGTGCCGGCTGAAGAACCCTGTCAGTGGGCTGCTGGAGTATTCTCAGTTCGTCAATCAGGTCTGTGAGTTCAACTTGATAGACCAGAGTGGACCGCCCCATGAACCACGGTAAGACACCCCCAGGAACTGCTCCCAAGGTGGGGTCAGATGTTCTTGCTCCTGATGCAGCCACATCACTGGGGCCCTATATTTTCCCTCTTCATATCTGCCTTTTGGCTAACCTTTTGGCCACCTTTGATTGGCCTTTTCTCCAGGTGTTGATCAGGTGTTATAGACTTTGGACCAGCCAGAATCTTGGCTGAGCAAGGGGCAGGGTGACTCTGTTGGCCAAAATTAAGTTTCTTTAGGAATGATTGGCTTTTGTGCATCAGTGTCATGCCTGCCTCCTAAGGCCAGAGGTAACGAAGACCCACTTCTGTGAGCCTTCCCCGCCTCCCCACACTAGGTTCCTGAAAATGTACAGGAATGGGTGGCTGGGGCAGGTTGCACTCACAGAGTGAGGTGGGTTGTGCTGCTAAGCAGCAGCAGGTCCAGAAACTGCTCTCTTCACAAACCCAGGAGAAAGGGTGGTACAGAGTGTGTATGCCTGCCTGGCCGCGAAGGCGTTGGTTCTAATTTTACATGCCGCCTCTGCACAGAGGGGCGGCAGGTACTTGCTGCTACTCCTGCACTGTGAGATCAAGAGCCTATGGCCCTCAGATGGCTGGGCCTACCCTCCAAGGCCCTATAGGCCAGTGGGCAGATTTAGGAAGGAAGATAGGTTGTGTCAGAAAGGAGCTGCTGAAGGGTCAGGCAGAAAGCAGCAACCCTAAAGCTCAGCGGCTGCAAACTGGTACTAATGAGAGCCAGTCAGGATGGCGGAGAATTCCACTGACCTTTCTGTTTACCAGGCTGGTTTCTAGGGGTGAGAGTTACCAGCTGTGGTTCTTATTCCTTACCTTGGCCGTCTTAAGGACACCAAGTTGGCATTGCAGGAGAGCTGTTAAGAAAAGGGGTATGTCTGTCCAAAGGCTGGCAGGGCCAAAACAGGTTTATTTCTGTTTAGGGTAGGAGACTGGATGGCTGTCATTTTCTGTCATTCTTTTTCTTTTCCTTCCATTCCAGTTGGGAGAAAGCAATGGTTTTGTGATTAATCATCCTTTGGACTCCAGCTATAAGAAACTTGGTACCCCAGCCTGAGCAAGACTGAGACCCTGTCTCTAAAAATAGTCACTGTAGCAGGTGCCTGTAGTCTCAGCTACTTGGGAGGCTGAGGCAAGTTTGAGCCCAAGAGTTTGAGGTTGCTGTAGGCTGTGATGCCATGCCCTCTACCAAGGGTGACAAAGTGAGACTGTGTCTGAAAAAAAAAAAAAAGAAACTTGGTACCATGTTCAAATATTTCAGAAGACCTCAGAAATAAGAAATTTGACCTACTTTACTAAATGAAATCCTAGATCGAGAAAAGAGCTGAACAAATTTGAAAGCTGGAACAAAGGAGGTCTAGGCTAAGTCCAGAGGCCCAGAAATAATGCTTTTTTAAATTTTCCATATAACAAGGGGAAATTCCTTTCATCTTAGGCTTGGGACAATTATAGCCATAGATGATTCATAACAAATTCTAAGAGTGATATGTGACAAAGGATAGGTTAGGGACAAAACAGGCCCCTGATAAATGGCAGGTGTGTGCTCCCTGTAGGGAGCTGGCTATCAGAAACCTTCACTCTCTTTAGGACTTTCCCTTGAGACCACTGTTGCTGTAGGAAGAAGGCCTTTGGTTGCTAACAAGACTATAATGGCGATTTTAGGTCATCATTTTTTGTATGAACTTTGTCTTAATTCATTGTTAAGAGATAATGGGTTTCCCTGAGCTTGTTTCATATCACTTATGGCTATGTTTGTTCCACTGAGCTACTGAGAAAGTCACTGGTTGTTTTGTTTCCCCTAAAAAGGGACAGGTTGAACCTCCAAAGGAATAGGGGCTCCTGGGCCTGCCCTCCCTCTCTTCCCCAAGACAAAAAGGCCTAGTGTAGCAAAGAAGTCCAGGATAAAGATCTCTTTGGAGAGGGCAGAAGGAATGGCTTAGACTAGTGTTCATGCATTTCATCACTTTCCGTCAAGATTTAAATTCCAGGTTGTCATGAGTGGCCGGGAGTTTCCCCCAGCAGAAGCTGGCAGCAAGAAAGTGGCCAAGCAGGATGCGGCTATGAAAGCCCTGAGAATTCTGCTTGAGGAGGCCAAAGGCAAGGACAGTGGGAAATCCGAAGAACCGTCCCACCATTCCGCAGAGAAAGAATTGGAGAAGGTGGGTATCCACCCTCTAGAAGGATGCCAGTTCACTTTCAGTGTCTGTGTCAGGATTTTAACTGACCTTCTGAAACAGTCCCAGCCTAAACAACTTATACTTCCTTGGGGTCAGCTTTCTGCCCTGCCCGCCACACCACGACCTCAGTCCCCGCCCCCCCCGCCCCCACGCACAATATAACTGAAGTTGCAGGATTTCTGTGTTGAGGGAGACCTGAAAGATTATCAAGTCCCGTCTTCTCTCTTAGAGGATGAGCCATAAGAACTAGAATACTAAAATACTGTACCCTTTCCTGCAGTGCCTAGACAATGCCCCAATAGTCCTTTCCTTTGGAAAGCCAGCCTCTTACACTCGGTTAGCTGGCGGGACACCCCCACCCCTCCCTGCTGCGGTGGACACACCAGTGTCATATTAATTTTGTTCACTTCTCATCTTTTGCAGATTGCAGAGCCCCAGCCCGCCACCCCTTCAGCAGCACCATTATTTCCTGGGAAGAGCCCTGTCACTGCACTGCTCGAGTGCGTGCACAAACTGGGCAGCTCCTGTGAATTCCGCCTCCTGTCCAAAGAAGGCCCTGCCCATGACCCCAAGTATGTCTCCTGTGTCATGTGTCTCTGCTGAGGTTTTATCAAAAAGAAAAAGACAAATTTTCTCTTTGTTTTCTCAGAGATAGCCAGTTATTTCACTGAGCAATTAATTTCTCCTGTTTCAAAATGGGGGAAGGAGGGCCTGGGGGCATGATTGCTGCTTGCGGATTAGGGATTAAAGGAGCCAAGTGCCAGGAGGTCCATGGCTTAGAGGTTACTGTTGATGGCACTAAAAGATACTAGACCTGAGAACCTCCTGTTTGTGGATCTGTAGACTTAGATGTTCAAAAGAAGGGCTCTTGGAGGAGGTAAAACTGGGTTGATGATCCTTAAGTGTTGAAAGGGGCCAGCCAGGGGTAGGAGGTGAATGAAGGGCACTGGCCATTCAAGGCAGATATGACTGCATAGAAAGTGACTACACAGAGGCAAAGAGTACTAGGAACTTAGAATCAGTAAAGGATGACAGTCTAACAAAGGCCACAGTCTTCTCAGTCAAAACCATTTTAATCTCTTTTTATCTCCTATCAGATTCCAATACTGTGTTGCAGTGGGAGCCCAGACTTTTCCCACAGTGAGTGCCCCCAGCAAGAAAGTGGCAAAGCAGATGGCTGCAGAGGAAGCCATAAAGGCCCTGCACGGGGAGGCGACCAGCTCTGATGACCAGGTAGGATTGTTTTCCTGCTCCAAACATACAGGTTGGCTGGGCGGATGGATCCCATGAGCTCAGGAGTTTGAGACCAGCCTGGGCAAGAACAAGACTGTTTCTGTTAAAAATAGAAAAACTAGCCAGGCATGGTGGCAGACACCCTGTAGTCTTGCCTACTCGGGAAGCCGAGGCAGGAGAATAATCTGAACCCAAGACTTTGAGGTTGCTGTGAACTAGGGTGAGACTGTGTCTCAAAAATAAATAAATAAATAAATAAATAAAGATACAGGTTGTTTTTAGCAACAGATGGTTTTAGGATTGCCAGTGAGTCCCTCAGGGTTTCCTGAAGTGTTTATGGTTCCTATTTGTTTAATTCTCCGTTAGCCTGGAGACACAAACACAGAATCCTGTGAGAACTTGGAGTCTGTGGTGCCTGGCAAAGTTCGGCGGATTAATGAGCTTGTCAAGTACCTGAACACCAACCCTGTGGGTGGCCTGCTGGAGTATGCTCGCTCCCATGGCTTTGCTGCCGAATTCAAGTTGGTTGACCAGTCTGGACCTCCTCATGAGCCCAAGTGAGTATCCTATCCCTGGCTATAGCCATGTGTCACCAGGTGGGGTGGCTTGTAACCCAGGGAAGAAAAGGACAAGAACATGCATTAGTTGTGAATGACAGAGGGTGAGTACTGGGAAGCACATCCTGTCCTGTCTCCACAGCCTCTCAATAGACATTGGGTCAGCCATCTAGACAATGTAATCACTCTTCCAGTCAGCATAATCCACTTTTTTTTTCTTTTTTGAGTTAGTCTCACTTTGTTGTCCTCGGTAGAGTACTGTGACATCACAGCTCACAGCAACCTCTAACTCTTGGTATTAAGTGATTCTCTTGCCTTAGCCTCCCAAGTATCTGAGAGTGCAGGCACCCACCACAACGCCCAGCTATTTTTTTTGTTATTGTAGTTGTCATTGTTGTTTGGCAGGCCTGGGCCGGGTTTGGACCCGCCAGCCCCCATGTATATGGCTGG